CCTTACTGATAGCATGTTGCAATCACAGTAGTGCAGTGAGCCTTGCTGATAGCATGTTGCACTCAGAGTAGTGCAGTAAGCCTATTTTCTTACAGCTGTACACATAATGACTATTATACTAAATTATTTGATGATGCATATTCTAGTGTCCTAGTTTTAGTGACAATGCTTGGCCATTAATACAATCCAGTTCACATTCAATGCCTACCACTTAATACAAATGTGCATTGTTCATTCCTCAGACATTGTCAATAACAACCAAAAAAATTCCCAAATTGATTATGACATTAGATAGAACAGAAATAATACTATTTCTGTGTGAAATATGATATATGATATTTATCAATATTGTAATAAAAGTAATGTATATGCTTGTATAGCTCAATCTAGTATTAAAACACACCATAACTCTCCAGTATGAAACATAAAAATAACAAACATTATAATAAATCGGGTAAATTGCAGTTAAATATTGGGGAGGTCATGTTAAAAAAATTAACATAAATAAAATACGTTACTATTAAATATATGTCTACTATTTAGATTTTTTTCTCCAGTCAATTAAATTAAAAACACCATTTATAGCTGAAATAAAATTAGAAAAATCTGTTATTGTGACCTGCTGAAGTTGTTTAATTTTTGTTATACTTGTATAACATTTACATTGATATTATTTAGTCAGACAGTATTCATAATGTGAACTGTGTAACATGGCCTTACAGATATATAATTTTAGATTTATTTTTCTGGATAATCTTCTTATCCAATGTGTATTTCTGACCTTTAGAATAATACATTTTATCGTTGTTTACTGTGTTTTTAATATTTTTATATTTCAGTAAAAACACACATGGCAAACAAAATATATGTTTTCACAGTTATAATACTCAATCCCATTCAAAGACACTTTTTTCAGTACAACATTGCTCTGGGATATATATGTTTCATCACCATGGAAACAGCTACATATTTTGATATGCTGTGAGAGAGTGAATATTAGGCAGCTATTCTGACAATATAAATGTAAATTTATTTTCTGTTTCAGGTTAATACAGTTGTTATAAGTATTTATATATAATGATGTTTTTATGTGATATTTCAAATGAAGCTAAATGATAT